TGGCCACATATGCCTATATTTAGCTCCGTGCTCTGGCTTATGCCTAGGTCACAAATAAAACGGGCGCCGTCCGATTAAACGATTTTTATAAAATCGGCAGATTTTTTTATGTCGTGGACGCTGGGCGATTTTAAATCTGATACCTTGCGTGGTCATGAATGAAACAGTCGTCGGGCGATTTTTTGCCGAGTGGATTTTACAGAAAGAATTAAACGCCTGATGTCCGCACGTTGCCTGTGCGATTTATAAGTGAATCGGGCGGTTGCCACGCGGGCTTTACATTAAATGACATCCTATATAAATCAGCCAGTTGTAATTATGCCAGCAAGGGGCCTCCGTGGCCGAGTGGTTAAAGTCGCTGACTTGAAATCACAGGTCCCTCACCACTGTGGGTTCGATCCTCACTCGGGTCGAAATCTTTCATGTGAGGAAGCCATCCAGCTGGCTTACGGAAGGTCGGTGGTTCTACCCAGGTGCCCGCTCATGCTTGAAATAATGCCCGGAGGGGCACCTGGGGTCTTCCTCCACCAATAAAGCTGGAAAAAAAAATCGACGAAAAATCTCGGCGGGACGCTCTAGGATGACCCGACTTGAGTGTACGGTCGCCCATATGGGCTTTCCGGCGGCGACCTTAAATAAACGCATTAAAAAAAAAAAAAAATTATGCCAGCAAAGAAGTCAGCTGCCAAAGCCAAGGGGAAGGCCAAGGAGTTGGTCCGTGTTGTTGACAACGAGTCACCAACGGCCAGTATCGAGGCCGTAGAAGGCGAAAATCAATCAGACATTCGCTTGGACATTGAAGAAAAAATTCATGTTTACTAGTATTCAAAAGAAATTCACAAATATATTTTTGAGGCAATTACAACTTCTTCAAGCTGAAATTAAAACAAACACTAGCAGCGCGGTCGCCGGATGACAAAACGATGACCACCCGGTGCCTGTACATGAATCGACCGGGCACCAGACGATAATCGTTTGACTACTTGTCTCTATTCAGGCACCGGGCGGGGCCCGGCCGATGTCCGCCCGGACGCCTTTTAAATCGGACACTGTTTTAGTAGAACAAAAAATCGCCCGATCAAAAAATCATCGCCCGGTCGCCGCCCGGCAACCGAGCGATGTCCGCTCGATGATATTTATACTCAGTGACCCCAAAAATTATCGTCTGGCCGCCGTTAGCTTTTAAGTATTACTTATAACTCGAAGGCGCCCGCCCGATGAGCAAAATTTTCAGCTGCTGCCGTCCGATAGTCACTGCCGCCGGACGGACGCCGGCCGATATTGCGATTTTTTGGAGAAACAGACGCCGCCCGGCGGCATTTTCTTATTTGTGACCTAGGCTTTAATCGTCAATATCCCAAGTTCGACGAATTGTTATGGGTCGAAAGGTCGAGCGGCCGAATCTTTATTTTTACCCGTACTGAATCAGGCAATCTTCGCTGAATTTCGAAACATATTTCTTTTCAAAAATCTAAGGCGTACAAAAGTGAAAGGAAAATCATGTGTAAAAAAGGTATTCAAAAGAATAGCTTACGAAATTTCTATTTTTCGAAGCCACGATAATTGCCAGTTTTTTTTTATAAAAACAAACATTTTCCGGTATACGCTGGTAAATTTTGTTACGGAGCTCCATACTCATATTGTAAAACATTTTAGGGCAATTTTATTGCATAAATGTAAATCAGGAATGTTATTTGATTTAATATCTATCTGAGATGTTTCGTCCCATTTATATAATTCTGACGACTTTACTATATTTACGATGTATTCATTCATGCTATCAAGCGCATGCGTATATGCGAAGTTTAACGCGTAGGTATAAACTACGATTTTATCAATGAACTGTTATTTTTTGTTTATAAAGGAATGTAGAGTCTATTACTTCATGAAAATGAACGATTTTGAACTTTCAAAGCATTTAAACAACTTTGCAAACACTATTTTAATGATGTGTAGTCGGAATGTAACGCTACTTCAGAATTAAGAACTAGTTTCTGTTGTTCGGTAACGCATAAACCTGTATCTATTTGTGAGATATAGCTTATAACTGTGTATACATTGCAAGCAATGTATACAAAAAGTCTGTAAAATGGGTCAAACCGTTCACGCCAAATTAATTAGGCTATACTGCAAGCCGTTCGTTACATAGACTGTTTAGACTAATCGTACGGTAATTTTACAGAAAATAAACAAAGACAATTATGAGTAAGCGAATATTTGTCTCTAGCTGTAAGACATTTTAATGAATTGAATGAATTATTAATCTACAGATTAACCGTTTTTCTGCGGTTGAAAGTCGGGAGATTTTTTTTATGAAATAGTACAGTAACAACTACAGTTAGAATCTATTAGTTACCTGTAAAATCATATGTGAAATATAATTATAAATTGCAAGATAATGACAATTTGTAATCAATTTCAATCAATTCGAAATTAGATTTACTTTATAAAGATAAAATCGTTGGTTTTTCTTTGAACATCTCTGTACAGAGTACAGTACATGATAATTTTTTTTAGCTAAATGTGACTGTTATTGTGAAATATAAAAGATGACTGAAGTAATTTCAATAACTTGAAATTGTTTTATAACCCAAATTTAATTAGAAAATTAACCAGTCTTTCTATATTATTACAGAGTGACCTAAAGTAACGAACCAATTATCACTGCTCAAAGTACAGATTCAAATAATGAAACAAATTCCAAGTTATGAAAGTTTTTAACATGAAACCTTAAAATTTACATAAAATGTGACAATGTAAATGTAGCCCTGCAATAAAGTCATTGATACAAATATATACAGACAGTACAATTATTTCATTGAAATATAATTGCCATGAGCTTTAAATCTATAAAAAAAGGACAGAGGACAGTCATGAGAAAATCACTTTTTTGCCAGGGTGGCATACAGAACTATTCACCTTCTTGAGGTACATGCACCCAGAGACATAGATAACAGAGATAAGCAGCTCCTATATACTCCATTGAAATATCACTCATGCCCATAAAAAAGTGAAAAATTAGGCATTTTGTAGCAAATAAAACTTTATGGATGTACATTTTATCCTTTAATATTATATACCATTTGAAAGGTAAATCTTTTATCTATAGCTGCATGTTAAAATATTGGTAACTTTCCATGCCTTTCACTTAGAAAAACATAGCAGAACATACCCACTGAGCCAGTTTTTTCATCACATGAATAGTTTTGTAACAAAAATTAATAAGTAGTTCTCTTTAAAAATCGATGTATCATTTATTTAAATAAGAACTGTAAATATTTTTACCTGCAGCCATAGACAAATGCATAAGCTTTCAGAAAATGTATTATTTTCCTGATTTTGATATCTGGTTAATAAGTTTTACTTGCTACAAGTTTTAAGTTTAACAGGAACGCATGATATTTTAACTGGTTAGGAAGTTGCCTATCTCTGTTATCTATGTCTCTGATGCACCTATTATTTCAGTCACAAACAGTTCTTAGTTTATCTGTCTTGGTTTTAAGCTGTGCCACTTTTTAACAGTTCTCTCAATGTCTAGGTATTTATCATTTCTGTGAATCATAAGAAGCTGATGCACACTATTGACACTATCACCATAAATATAGAAAATAAACACCACACTGAACCAAGTAACCAGAAAGTGTTGAGATAAAGGGAGGTAATTAATCTACTGATAAGATATGAGTTATCTGACCATGATTATCATAACGGTCATAAACTATCTGTATTGACACATGTTCCACCCTGCCCCTTTTTGATGCCTCCCTGCCCCTTTTTCAAGTCTAGAATAATCACTAGACAAAAGTACATAAAGTCACATGTTAAATTTACTTCAACACTTGCAGGAATGCCATACTTGATTAATTGTTTGAATTTAGGTTAAAATATTCCTGGGAGTGACCCGAGTAAGAGTTTTAATTGTTTTTTTTAAGAAAGATCAAGTCATGTTGTAAATGTACCAACCTTAAAATGAATAGATAGGTGCATTAATATCTAAAATAAATTTAAAGCATAATTCCCCCTTCCATTTATTATTGGCTAAAAACAACTTAACTGATTGAATATTGGTTGTTACAGGATAATACAGTTCATGTTGTAGACTTTAGACTAGAACTCCAAAAATGAAGGGTAGCCAATAGACTATTGGAAGTGGCTAGCGGTATAGGCCTATATCATCTCTGATTCTCTCTTGACTATGTTTCTTGGGGTTTCTTTTCACTTTCTCTCCATTTTTTAACATACAGGTTTTATTGTAGGCAGTTAGTCTATGCAAATATGACTGATGTTCCTTTTGATTGACTTTGAATTAAAAATAGACATAATTTTTGTAATAAATTTCAATTTGACATAAAATAAATTGTACTAAATTATTTCAATATTTACTAAATCTCAAAAATATGCATATGATATGACACGTTATATTTAGAATTTCTGAAGAAAAGATTTGTTGAAATTTATATCGATATGCAAATATTTTGTTTTGTGTAACAAACATGCAAATATTTTTTTTTTTTTTTAACATACAAAATGGCAAAAAAGAACCATGATGGACTGTAAGAATTTTCAGGTGAAATCAAACACTTTCCAAGCGTGCCAGGTATATTTCACTTCCAACGTATCCTTGTCCTGACACAACAAGAACTACAGCCTTTTTGATGTGATACCCAGACTTTAGGATTTTGTTCTTTTTGATATTAAAGTATTCCTTTATTCCTTTTCATGTAAATTATTTCATAACTTTGAATACTTTTTCTTTATATAAGTGTGGCACTGTGCTATCAATTATAATATAACTTATTTTAATGCATTGATCTTTTCGCTGCTGGAACCTTTGCAAAGAGCAATGAATTAGGTCAGCTATACTGAATACTCTGTACTGTTGATTTCAAATTTTCAGATTGATATCCCCAAAATAGGTAATTGGCTGTGCCAAAATTGGAAGCTGGACAAGTCCATGTAACAAAGTTTACAGGGAATCTGATGATTTTTTTCTTCTTCAGGCTCTTGCCCTTGTTGAAGAGGAGACAAGAAGATACAGACCTACAAAGAACTACCTAGAATATCTCCCTTCAGCTCAATATACACAATTTGAGGTATGGATCGGCTGTGAAGAAGTTTCTTCTTTCTTGTAAATGAAATTAACTGAAAGACAAAAAACTGTCACTAAAAATCACCTCTGCTCAATGTGTTCCTTGCATGTTTAATTAAAATAAGGTTTAATGTGTGGCCATGTCCTGCGTGTATTCTCAGTTTTTGGAAATTGATTCCAGATTTCCCCTTTTTCTGATTAATCTGTGTATTTTCCCCATCGGAAAACAACGCAGGTTTTGTTGTTGTTTTTTTTTTAAATTAAAGAATTTGCTACCTTTAGGACATATTCAATACATTTGTACTATTTTCTTCAAGTGGTTAGCATCTCACATGGTCTAAATCCATTATTAGTTACCACATTTTAAAGCACATATTTGGCCTTTCTTTAGAAATTTTTCGTTTTATTCATTTCTGAGGTATTATGTGCCTTTAAGTTTTTTTGGTTTTTTTTCATCACATAGACTGAGATAATGAAGACCGAGTTTGAGAGGTTGCAGTCACGGTTACCTATGGATATGATGAACATGAAACGTTACGAGTTGCCACAGCCCGCGGCCGGAAAAATGACCGATGTCTCCGCATGGAATGAATGTGTAGAAAATTCACAAGCACAGTTAGAACACCAAGCTTTAAGGTAACTTTTCTCTGAAAATTTGTGGATGAAAATATATTCTTTGAAATTTGAACAGAAATTAAAAAAAAAACAACACAAAAAACGCAACGTACGTGGACATTGTAGCAAAGTTCAGTAAAGTTTCACACTGGTGTTTCAATAGGGGAGTCTTTTTTTCTTTCAAGAACATATTATAGTTTTAACTTATTTATTAAGGCTGAACTGTGGTAAGAGTTTTGAGTACCATACTTAAACCACTTTGCTGAAATGTACAGTCTAGACCCCAGACAGGCTCACACTTATGTTTATCAGACTTAAGAACCACAACTCATTTTATTTACTTGATACATTTAATTCCTTATACTTATTGCTCTTTTTATGCATTTGTTGCATGATGGTGTCATAATGCACACCATCATGCATCAAATGCATAAAAAGAGCAATGTAACATTAGATTGCAGATACTGGCAAAATTAAGCAGACATAATCCCGTAGAAAAAGAAAACCAATTCAGTTATGTAACTACAATAATCATATTTTATTTGTGGGAGGAGATTAGGACTGCAAACAAAATGAAATTTGTTAAGACTTTGTAAAGCTCTTTATTTTGAAATCATAAAGAGATAACTTGTGTTCTTGTTTTTTTAAACCAGAATATTAAATTTGGATTTGTTACAAGAATATGGAGGTAATGCATGGAAGAGTTATAATGAAACATTGGTGAAAATGATGGAACAAGCACAAAAACAATTAGCAGAGCTCAAGTAAGTGTTCCTCTAAATGGTTATGTTTCCCCAGTGTTTTTTATCACTTAATTGGGAAGAGGCCTTAGCCTGTTGATTTTGGGAAAAAAGAGATCACTAAAATTTGGGAAATAAAAAAGCTGGAGTAAGTACAAATTTTTGGGAAAACTTCAGGATTTTAAAGAAAAATTTGTTTGAGAAGAGGCCTTTTGTAGGCATTTGTTATTTAAAGTGAAAAATCACTTAATTTCTCTTTCGTGACTTTCTTAACCTTGCCATGATTTTGTCATTGTGATAGCCCATACCCTGCTAAATTTATAGAATGGATTTGCCCTCTTTAATTTTGGAGTTGTCCATTGTTATTTTAAGGTGGATTTTTTTATGAAAATTGCTAAAAAGTACCCAGCAGTGTTAAGCTTGGTCAGATTACACCAAGGCGAAAATATTGTTCGCAGATTATATTGCAATTATATGATACTATGTTAAAGCTACATGCATCCAGATAATCCAAAATATTTCAATAAAATCAAACTTAAAAAATATTATTTAGACTTTAGGAATGTAAAAATATTAAAGATTCAAGTAAAAATTTACATGTTATATGTGGTTAATGACTGATTTTTTCAATATTATGACTATATTTCTACTGCGTTACTAATACAGTAAGGGCTTTTTTTGCACATTGTCACCTCATTTTAGTAATTTACGCGAGTTGTAAGTGCAATTAATTAGGTGTAAATTGCTTCCTATTGGTCACTACACACTATTATGCGTTTTCACATTTAAAAATTTTTCATGAAAATAAGGATAACTCTGGAGGAGTGCTGTTTTAATCCAAGAAAGATAACAATATCTTCCAGTGATTTTTTATTTCAAATTTCAAAACAGCCAAGGGCTATCTGAAGGGGAAAATATACCGCCATAAATCAGAAAAGGGGAAAATCAAATTCATACAACTGAGAATGGAATTTACCCACACATTTTGTAAAATTTTCATTTTCAATTCAATTTAACATGTATGGTACATAGCAGAGGCTATCAATAGGGACAACTTTCTGTGTTCTAGATGATAATTTGTCAGATGCTATTAAAGTATTAAGTGATGGTTTTGGTGAAGAATGTGCACAGGGCATTTAAGGGGAAAATATTAGCATTTTTATGGGAAAATTTACCTATTTTAGGCTAGGAGAAACAGCCTTAATTCGACTGTAAAATACAGAGAAAAAATCACTGTCTAAGCATTATCTATGATGTAACTAATGCAGTAGCCAGTACAAATAAAAATTCTTTATTCCAAATAGTATCATGTTGCAACAGTGCTTGGAAAATATATAGAGGATATTGAATGATAATAAGTTGAATGACTGGGATTTTTTTTGGCTTATTTTAAAGACGTTATTGTGTCATATTCCCAATTGAAAAAAGTATATATTTTTCCCAATCCACAGGAAAAAATTCCCAATTGCAAGTTAAAAAAAAAAATTGAATATTTTGTTCTAAAATCTTTGAAAATAAGGACTATTGCTTAAATGTTTTATGTGTTTAAATGTTTTAAGATGCTATCCTAAACGGTGAATGTTTGCATTAATTTAATCACTGCAAAATTTCTGGCATGCATTTTTATCCCAATTTTCAACAAAACATCGCTAAAATTCCCAATTCCATGGGTATGGGTCATATTCCCAAAATCCTGGAAAAATTCCCCTGAATGAGTTTAATGAAGTTATTATGCTAGCTTCTGGCGAGCATAATATCATTTTATTCAACGAGTTCAATAAATTTAGTTTTGAACTTACACAAATATAATATTCTATTTATTAATTATCACAAATCCAAAATAAAGAGTGTTTAAAGTGAAAAAGAATTAATTTTCAATGACGCCCCTAACATTTAGCGCATCTTTACACTATGTCATTTGCGTAAGCAAATGACATGACGTCAAAATATATGCACAGCCAAGCAATACTGTTTTCATTGAGTCTCAAAAGCAGCATGGGTATGTGATAAGATGTGTAAATAAAATTATATTCATATGTGGTCAATAACAGAGATACTCTTGGTTGAATCTTTTTTCTTAATTTAATGTAGAAAGTATGTAAAAACAAAGCCATAAATTATGTTAATACAGTATTCGAAACTTAATATTTTGTATATTTCTTGCAATTTTTTTACTAATTCTATTGTCATCATTTCATTCTATATTTTGTGTAGGAAAAAGATTCAGGAGATCAACTGGCAGAGAAAAAATGAGCAAACAGAGGCTGGTTCTAAATTAAAAGATTTAGAAAACAGGTACAAACTTCAGTTATTACAAATAGGATTAACAATTATATGTTATAAATTAAATTTATTGAATTTTCAACAGATAATTTGGCAAAATAGATATAACAATTCTCTGTTGGTATAAAGTCATATTACCTGTCAAAATCTTTTAAATCAATCTATAACACTTTCTTTGATTAAAATGAAAAAAAAAAAACCATAGAAGAATGTCAGTTGCGATTTGTAATGAACAAAGATGATTTAAGCATCATTTTCAATAAAAGCCAATGTTACAAACATCACAGAGAAATTCGGCATTGCCCAAGGATCGTTCCAGTGAACTCTGGATTTGTAATCTGATTATCTCCCATTTGAGCTTAGTGGGCTGATGCATTTAACAATAAGTCAATATTTGATATAAGTATGAAAACTTCATAATCTTTTCATATCATATATCTGTTTTCTTATTTCTGTTGAATGATATTTATACAAACACTATTGCCTGTTGTACTCCAGTTGGGTAGGCCTTGTGAGTAAAAATTACGAGATTGAGAGAGCCTGTGTCGAGATGGAGAAGGAATTAGCAGAACTTGAAAAACAGAAAAAGGTAATGGTTAATCAACTGGATTACTGTGAATTCACTAAATTTTGTGGTTATGAAATTTTATGGTTTTGTAAAAATAGCATTTGGTGGGTTCTTAAATTCATGGACTGTTTATTTTCCCAAAAATGTAAGTAATGTGATGCAAAATAATCTCACAGCAGATGAAATGAAATTTTGTTAGATCTAAAATTCGTGTATTGGCCTATCCACGAAAACCATGAAAATTAGTGCCCCATGAATAATAATAATTTTACAGTATGTAACTAACCGTTAATGTGATATGATTCTGGTTGGGCAATTTCAGTAGTAGTTTGTGCCTCATTTTAAATGATGACTTTCTATGGTTTTTCTTCGTCATAATTGGAAAGTCACAGTTATTTTGGAAACAATGTATTTGACTCTGGTTCTATTAATAACCATTTTACATCAGTGACTTACATGTTTTTAAGGACACAATTCTTCCACTTTTATAAGTGAGTCACATGTTTAGTTTGACATCATTCTGCCTTTTTAAAATAAAACGAAATTTAACACATGTACTTAAAAGATTTTGGTTAACATGTGTTAAAAAAATATACGCATATGGAAAAAATTTTACTTGGTACCAGTTCAGGTAAAATTTTGTTTGTCGAGAAATTTTGAGTGGCAACCCCACAGCTTGTTATCACCTAACTAGTTGCCATTAGCAGGATACCTCCATCTGTACTAGTGTAAGATTCTTATATGGATTTACGGTTGTAACTGGGCCCATGTGACTAATTACCAGAACAACAACAACAATGTAGAATCAAAGTCTTTCATTTTCATAAAGTATAATTCATGATAAAATGATGAATATTCATGTTTAAGTATTGATGTAAAAAATGAGTTATTCTTTTTGACATTTTACTGTATTTTTTCTTTTCAGACAAAAAGATGAAAATTTCTTCAGATATTCTTACAGGATAATGTTTAATGGCTGGGGAAAAAAAGAATCTGACCAACTTCTGCATATGATGTAAACAGTGATAGATACATAAAAGTTTCAGTGTTGAACAATTATGGTGTGGACTAATTTCCAAGTTAAACATTCATTACATATGTTTGATTATGACAGATAGAATTGCTTTGCACTGATTTGAATACATTACATAATGTTTTTTATCTGCCGGATTAGAATTTATCATGTTTTTAAAATTTAGAAAACTGTATGTTAAAGATGTAGCGTAATACTCAATTTTCATGAATAGTACCACCCATTGATAGGGAGCCAGTGAATTGATGTGATATTACCATAGAATACATATGGACAAAGCATTCTTTTTTAGATTAAAATGGTTAGAAATGATTCCCTTACATAGGTTGTAGTAATGTAACATTGTTAAAAAAACCCCAGTTAAATTCTCTTGATGAAAAAGCTTTGTAGAACACCAAGGGGAGAAAAAAAAAACTGTTGTAAAGTCTTCTTTATTTCATATAAAGTTATGCAGTTTTGCGTCAACACTCCATTTGATATCGATATATTTTCCCCAAGCTTTGCGATGTTAATTTGATAACCATTAGTTGCACTTTTATGGTTGTAGAGAAATGAATAAAATTGTTGGAATTTATTTGTTGAAAAAGGGAAAGTTTTCATTTGCTACAAGTTTTGATAAAAAAAATTTTTAAATTAATTTTGAAAAGATGATAAAAAATTTTGTAAAAAAAATATGGACTTTTGAGAAAAATTTGCTGTTTAAAGAAAAAGGGTACCATTTTGAGAGTGTGGGAAAAATGTTTTTTTTCCCCTTATGTAAAAAAATTACATACAAAATGTAAATTTTTAAAACAATCCCTTTTAGTGATGTTGATGAAATTTTAAATTATTTTTGGGGTTTTTGAATAAAAATGAAAAAGACTGTTTTTTGGGACCCAATAAGGGGTTTTATATACCCCTCGAACCCGGGAAATTTGATGAAAATAAAATTGGGTGTTTTTAGCCTTTTGTATATTTAGTTATTCCCCATTATTTTTATGCATACAGGGTTTTTATGGATTTTACTTTATAGTGTATTTTGGTCAAGTTTTTACTTTATTCCTAAATGGATTTTTTTTAATTATTAAAGCGACATTATGCCCATCCAAAGGTATATAGCGAGTGAACAGGTGAGAGTCAAAATAAATTTTCATTTTGCCATCATTCCTTTTGATTTAATAATTTACTTTGCATAAACAATAAATAACCACCAGGTTCGAACTCACTTTCAGTGAATGTCATTTAAAATCTACCTGTAATGTTCAATTTATAAAAAGAGTGGGGCAGTCTTTTTATATTTTAGGCAGATTTTAAATTTTATCCTAAACATTTTCCAATATAATCTGTCGGTCAAATATCATTTAAACAGTCAATCTTTGAAATATAAAGTCAATTCAGCTCAACTTGACAATGAAAATGGGAGCATAATGTCACTTTAAACAGAATTTTAAATCGTTATAAAACCTTAAAGGTAAATGTCACAATTGGAGGTCTTTAAAACTACTATGCCTCTGACATCAAATTAAGGCAAAATGGGATCTAGGTTTTATATCCAGCCCTAAAATTTATACCTTTATAGATTTTAAAGTTATTTGGTAGATATGTATACCATTTTTAGAAGATGATTTGTGCGTAAGACCGAGATTTGTTACATTTTAAAGGTCTAAGATAGGTGTCATCCACTATAACAAGACTTAAAATCTTGGTGTGGCAAAATGAAGTGAACATACAACATCTTGATCCAAATTTTCTGAGCTTAAAGATGAACAATTTATAAGCGAGCATAGGTCTAATGGTACAAGTGTCGCCCTTTCAAATCGGGGTTCAATTGAGCCTTTTTTCAATCATAATCATATTTTCCTAAATGAAATGGAAAGTTTAAAACAACTGACCAACAGCAACTAACAATGTAAAATTTTATTGTATTTAAATACTTTTCATAATTTAAAACATATATCACAGATCATTAAAAAATTCAAATACATTTTATTTTACTTCATTCAATATTCAAAATATCAATCGTTAAATATTTCTTATTTCTGTCCATAATTTTCTTTTTACAGTGAATACTCCATTCTCAACAAAACTCGTATCTTTAAAGCGAGAAATATCTGAAATCTGTCATTTAGAACTGTATATTCACAAATATTCTTTTTTAATAAAGGGAGATAATTTAAAGAAAGTATAAAGAAGTCTATTTTTAGAAACAAAGGGAGATTATTCGATTTTTATTCCATTTCTTCATCTTCTTCTTCATTGTCTGACCCCATCTTGCTCTGAAAGCATTCACAAAATAAACATTTAAAAATAACATAACTGATATTCGTATGCTTCAAATTGTAACAATGTTCAGATTTGCTGAAATACAACATAATGGTAGTTATAGGTGTAAATTATCAAGCTGAAATAATGAAATATAAATACTTTAATACACCTAATGTATGAAACAGTTGAATTAAAATACCAGTTTTTAAAACAAAAAGGATTTTATTTTGTCACAGTGGGACAGCAAGCTGAACATGCATTCTTAAAAAAATATTGACATTGGTACAAACTTACTGGGAATTCAATCACATGTCAAACTTTCTTTTGCACTAACAAATTTTAACAAGTTATAAAACAAACATAAAATTACAGCACTCTATGAGGAATAAATATTTTAATGATTTGTATTTTACTTGTGTTTTACTGGTTTTCAAGAATGGCACATATTATGAGGAAAATATTTAAAAATATTGTTTAGTATTATTCTATAATAATAGTTATTCTATACAGCTGTAACTATGATTTCACTACATGTACATAGAAACAATTTGTGATCTTAATACACCTAAACTCTACAATGTGCTCTTTGACAATAATAATCTCTTTTGACTCTGTGAAAATAAATATTACAACCCTTACAACACTAGGCAGCAATGACTTTGCCTATGACACAAGTATAGCCAGGTCAGATGGCACATTGGTGCAGTCCAGGTCACTCGGCACATTGGTGCAGTCCAGGCATGCCGGCACATAGGTGCAGTCTGACCATGATCTAGGTGGTCAACTACTTAACTAGAGCATTTTGATATGAAAATCCCTTGCATTGATAATGAACTGTTCCAAATTCAAGGCAGGTCAAGTCCATTGCTGGACACTAGCACTATAATGGTTAATTGTACAGACAGATAAAATACAAAATTGTTAGTACACATAAAAATAATACTGCAATGTAATAAAAAAAGCTTTGTGCAAGTCCATCTCCATCTTTGTTATTGATTTTGTTAGTGCTATCTCTAACTAAAAGCATAATTGTTCTCTACAAAGTAATTATCGCCCAAAATCTTAAAAAAGTTTAGAATTCAATCCTTCAAAAGTTGACAAGTTACAGAAATACTCTGTTTTACTATCAAAAAAATGAAAAGAAAGTAGAACCATGTCCCATCAGTGTTAAGTTAGGATCTATTCTTCATAATGAAATGCTGTACCAATTCGTATTTAAATCAAACCCAGCTTTATTTTGTACAGCCTTGAGTTAAAATCAAGTCTACCACATAACAAAATTGTTCTATATTGAATTAAAGAACTGTTGAAAAGTTGAAATCAGGGCCCGCTTGAGAGCTTGATTTAACAATTTTCAGAATATTAAGTATTAACCTACATAATTTCATAAACTTCCAAACATGTGTACTTTTTCCACATAATTTGAATTATAGATTGTTTATTAACACAATTTACTATAAAGATGTAACCCCCTACCCCCGTCCCAAAACACTTCCAACAATCTTTAGAGTCAATTGCCAGCACCTCTTTTCAACAATCCTAAAAATGTGTACTAGTAATTCTTTTAAAGTGATACCATGCCGTGAAAATTGCAAAAATTTCAAATTGAAATGTTCATTTGCAAGGAATGCTTTTGTGAAAAAACTTACAACTTTGTGACTTTTCTTCTTCCTGTAAATTGTTTGAGACATCAGAATTGCTGTTCTTGCATTTAAAATAACATGTATAATATATGCGCCGCGTCACGACAAAACCAACATAATGGGTTTGCGACCAGCATGGATCCAGACCAGCCTGCGCATCCGGGCAGTCTGATCAGGATCCGTGCTGTTGGCTATCAGATTCTCTACTTGTAATAGGGTTTGTAAGCGAACAGCATGGATCCTGATCAGACTACGCGGATGCGCAGGCTGGTCTGGATCCATGCTAGTCGCAAACCCATTAAGTTGGTTTTGTAGTGACGCGGCTCATATATGTCTCTTGACAATTTGGTTTTAATCATCATTGGCCAAAAAAAGCCCCAACCTGTTGAACTTTAACTTGTCCCTACATAAACGATTCAATATATACCACGAGCCACTAGAAGATGGTTATATTGCAAATAACTGTTTATATATGGCCATATAACATGTTAACAATCTTTTATAATGAATTTAAAATACCGCAATTTTTCTTTATTAGAGGGGAAAAAATGAAATGAATTCATAAAATGGCAGCAGTCCTTTATATAGATTATATAAATCTCACTATTATCCAATGAAAAACGTCCTTACAAACGAGCAATATTATAAAAATAACCCCTATAATCCCAAAATAACAATGGACACTTTTTGAAACTGGGCAAGTCTATTATGCAAAGTTAGCAGGGTTATGTAGTTAAACTAATGGACTAGTTATTAAGCCAGCAGCATCAGAAAACTACATCAACATTCTACATCCACTAGTATGTTATTGTTTTAATAACTTCTCCCACGCTCACAAATTCTTCTGAAATATCTACTTTTGTTAGAGTATTAAAATCTTAGCTACATTCATACATTCAGCAGATGTAATGATTTTAAGAAAAAATTTAGTCCTCTGCAGCCTGCTCTTCCTCTGCACCTTCTGCTTCAGCCTGTTTCATAAACACGACAAATGTAACCCAAACAGTACTATAATTAACAGTTTTATCAAGGAGAAGTCACTCTGTGTATACAGTAAGTGTGCCAATTCTTGGTTGAAGGGAAGTAACTCTGCAATAGCTCTATCCAAGTTTTGTTTATTTGTTTGTTTGTTTCATTTTACGCCTTTTTCCAACAGTATTTCAGTCATATAGGCGAGTAGTTTCCTAATCATCGTTCCTGGAGAGGTACACCAGTACTAGACTACCTTCCTCCGCGCTAAACTACCACTCTATCCAAGTAAGATTATAAAAGATTTCTGAGTGATCAATATATCAATCAATCAATCAATCAATCAAATTTCACAATAAAATCTGATACACAATATTATACAAGTACACAATATTAGAACATGTACAATAACTGAGTGACATTTGCCCAGAATTTCTGAAGCTATAGGACTCTTATATATACATGTATATTCAAAATAGGAGTATTGAAAAATTTCAATGAATTTTTAGCAAAGGATCAACTCTCTGCACTGAACACAATTAGTTACTTTTGTTTTCATATATCCTTATTAGAAATACCCTTAAATTAAATTTCATATTAGATAATTAACGTCCATCCACAGAGAAGTGTTTAAAATAGAAATGACACTGTCCACAGCTATAGCAGTGGTAATTCTGAGAATATTCAAACAAATCATACAATAGTTTTATATAACTATAAGGGACCAATTTTTATACAAGCTCTACTTGTGGAGAAGTTGTTGCCACATTGTCCTCGGTTATTGTTAAAGTGGGAACTTGTGTGACCTAAAGATAAAATAATTTATGGAAGACCTTTAGTACATAATCAAGAAACAAGAAGGAACCAAATCATGATAAATAATTTTTTTCTTTCTTAAAAGATACATTGTAGAACTGCTCAAAAATTGGTTTCAACAAAAAATATTCATTTAATTCACCTTATTATTGTTTATTTACAGCTATTATGCTTCACCCCAAACAAAATATTCAACTTTTTCAAAATTTGATCATTATTTTAATTTTGGTTGCTTGAAAATTTATCATGATATGGTTTTAATAGTGAATCATTTTTTAGGGATTCATTACTACATTTATCAGCAAAATTCAGTAATATTATCAGCTTTCTCTACAAATCTGAAATACATGTCAACATAAGTTTATGAAATCGTGATTTTTTGATAAGAATGAAAATGAAAAGAAAAAAAGTTGCATGTACATGTAGATATACCAATGAAGCCGTACATTAAATGGAAATACTTAGTACATAAAATGAACACCATAAAACAAAGACAAAAAAAGAAAATGAAAAGTAAAATTTTTAATAAGATTTCTTGAATCAGAATGGTTTTCTTGCTTTAATTTTAATCAAATACTTTTACCGTATTTATCATCATTATTTATTTATATAAATATTGCTTCCGGACCTATCTAGCAACACTTGGCTGTTAAGTTTATAGATATGGCCAGGTGCCCATCCCAAAAACACATGCAAAAGACATAACCAAAAATTAAATCCATCAGCAAAGTGACCCATAGCGGCCGATCTAAGCCACTGCAATCTTTAAATTCAGAGAAAAAGATTATATTTTAAGAAAAAATATAAAGAGAAAACTTGTATATAAATCATAAAATATATTTCTGATATAAAATAATTGAGTAGTTTAATTATTAAATAAATGATAATTGTATATTTAATTATAATATTCAAAATGAGTAAGATGAATAAATTTTGGACAAAGTGTTTTTTTTCCCTCCTTTAGACTAACTGGTCTGGTCCCATTCTCCAGTTGATGGAAATTGCTTATTTTGTTCATAAATAAATGTCATTTCTTGTTCAAAATTTACAATGTCTGTTACAGAAGCCGTTTTCACATAGAAGCAACTTCTTTTAATTTGATTTATCTAATTCTAAAACAAAAACATTTCACACAACTGAGTGGACTTGACCGTATACTCCAGAAGTTGAAAAGAAACACTGCCGAGAGAAATTGAAAAAAAAGTCTGTGGAACATTGATTTAACGACAAAATCATTAATTCAATATCATTAATACTATTATTGAAGTGATTTCTAACAAAAATGAAGTCAACCTGCACTGGTGTCGACATGTTGTATTTCTTCATTTCTTTCTTAAAAATGAGCTCTTATTAAACTCTTAAGATGAATTTGAACAATTTTTTATTCAGTCCTACAATTTATCAAATTATCAATTTGAAGCTAAATTTAAGTTCCTCTAATAAAGTCGAGCACAACATAATTTGCATTAAAAATCATTTTTGACATATAATTTTGCCTTGCTAGTCATTTGTCTGAAATAATGAGGATAATGTATAATATTTCATGCAGGGCTATTTCATGCATTCTCATTGGCTAAGACACCGACAGCTCCGTCTTTCCAATTAAGCCAACATTAGGGTAAATGGCTGCAGTATTTTTACCTATCTTCTAGCAATTTAATAACAATGTTACAGATGACGATAGTTATTCAGATACAGGTGTACCTTTCTACTTTGGAGTTTCAACAAATTTAGAAATATGTTATATTAATTGTCATGTCTTTTGAATTCTAACAGAGTTTTGTCAAATAATTACTTTGTGAAATAAAAATAATTAATCTTTTAAATCTACAGAGGTAATTGTATTTAATTTTTTCCTTTCAAAAAGTGAAGAATTGAAAAAGGGTTCTCCCGTATCACTATAATAAACATCATCTGTAATAATCCATATATCAAAATATTCATCATTTAATTGCCTATGTAAAGACAGTCGTTCATTTTGATAGATTGGTAAAGAAAGATGTTGATGAAAAGAGAAATATTACAAATTATGGTTTCATGATCACCTTTAAACAAATGAAATAATTTGAGATGAATATTTTACAAGTTGAAACATGTAAAACAACATGGTTGACCATCATAATTTATACCGAGTATTTCATTTAAAATATGTTATTTTTTCTATGTTCTTCCCAATGAATTTAACTAAATAAATACAAGTTAACAACAACTTGTTAATTAGATTAAGAATCATAAAAAGTTTTGCACTTTTCAAAGCTTATAAAGCTGTAAAATTTAATAAAAAAAAATTAAATAATTTGAATCAATTCAGAAAAATAAGAAATCATAAAGTTCATTATTTTTTGTGAAAGTTGTCTCCCTTGCATTAACAAGCAAAGTAATAGCAAAAAAAAAAATAATAGTAAAACGGATAAATTTTGCAAAGAAGATTTACTGTAGAATGAATTATGCGGAATGAAATTTCTTAACAAAGAAACAAATTTATTAGTCTTTAAGCATTGAGTAACTTTGTTATGTCTTGATTTGAAGATATCTTTTATACATAAAGAAAACAATCAAGGATTACATAGTATTGGTAAATAAGCATTATGTACTGACCACTTTCTATACTTTATATACATTATTTTCAAGATTTTTGCTCAAAAAATCCTTTTTTTTGTTTTATCAGCTAATTAAAAAAATTAATATTGTTATAAAATGCTGATTTTCATAGATGTTTTAATTGTATTGCACTTTCTAATAAGACTGTGTAAAATTAAAAAAAAAAAAAAAAAAAAAAAAAAAAAATCTCAATTTTTAGGAATATAAAGATTGTATGTAATGATTCAAAAATACAATTTTTTGTTGTTGTTATCTTTTTATTTTTTCAGTATGTAAAATATTATTTAAGGTGGCCTTAAATCAGTTGTTTCCAAGTTTGGCATAACCTTGACACTTTTGACGAGTGACTAAATGTCGCGTTTAATCATCATGTATATAAAGTATAGAGTGGCCGTTATAAAGCAATATCAATGATACAGTTATATAGACGTATCATTTATTTAAGCAGCGGTAATTTTTGGTAAACAAATTTGCAGGCCATATCGTAATCCTCACCGTCGCCAATTTCACTCTCGTTCTCGTCGTCGCGGAAACTAATGTGATACCTAGTCGGTCCATGCCCGTGTAATTCCCTACCCTACGAATCATGGATATTAATCATGCATTAACTTAAGTGTGTGTTAGAAATACAACATTGTCTCCAAAATACAGCACTATTATTAATACATGAGAGTAAAAATATACTTCATCAATTTGTCAAAAGCATAACATTGATATGTACTTTAACTATTTGAAATTTTGTCATTATGTATTGCTCTAAAAAAATATCGGCTAAATTTACCCAAACAAATGTGACCAATTCTATGAATTATGGTAATTTTCCAGAAGAATGAGAATATTTGCCAGTAACTATATGGCTAGATGGCAAATTTTATAATTCTTAAAAGAAATGGACCACAAAACAACAAAAGAACTTTAAATGTTCAGATCAACAGCAAAAATGAGATAACAAACCATTTGTTATTATTTATCAGTTGAAATTAAGGTCTGTGGCCCCTTATACTGTTGAAACTCACAAAAGTTAGTTTTTCTTTTGTTTTGTTTACAATTAGATGTCAACTTATTATGATTCATTTGTGCCAAGTATTAACCATATTTTGGAGACAATGAATTTGTTAATAAAAGCTTTTATAGATCAATCATGTGTTTATAAATACAGGGTTTATATAAGACAAGCTTACATGTATAATACCCACACATATACATATTCTTTTAACTTTCGACAAAACATGAAAACAAATGATGGAATCAAAAATCTCAATCAAATCATGCCACTAAATTTTTGTCATTTCTATAATAACAATTCCAAACAAACAAGAGCTGTCCGTAAGACAGCGCGCTCGACTTTTTTAGTGCTTGCCTATAATACAAAACATTGACAGTTAAGGGCCATAATTCAAATAAAATCTTTGACAGAATTACCTTCTCCTGGACATGTTTGGGAATCATGATTGTAAACAAGTATTCCAACTTTCAAATTAATATCTCAAACAGTTCAGTCAAAAAGTGGACTGGTACTAAAAACTTAACCAAGATTCTAAGTCGATAAAAGGCCTTAATTTTTAAAACAAATCCTTGACAGAGTTACCTTCTCTTGCGTACAGATGGGGGTAATGATGTGAAATAGCATTAAAAGTTTCAAAGCAATATCTCAAAGGGTTAAGGCAATAAGTGGATTTTACCCATATTCAATGTATTTTCTAAGTCAAAAAGGGGCATAATTCTGTCAAAAACCTTGACAGAGTTATGTCCTCTTGTCTGTTGATGAAGGTCGTGATGGTAAACAAGTATGGTCAGTTTCAAAGCAATACCTCCAATGGTTTTGAAATAAAGTGAGGTGGTACAAAAAACTTAACCAAGCTCAATACACTTTCTAAGTCAAAAAAGGGCCATAATTCTGTCAAAAACCTTGACAGAGTTATGTACTCTTGTCTGTAGATGGAGGTTATGATGGTGAACAAGTATGGTAAGTTTCAAAGCCATACTTGTAATACTTCTGAAATAAAGTGGGGTGGTACGAAAAACTTAACCAAGGTGTGACGCCGACGCCGACGCCGGGGCGAGTAGGATAGCTCCCCTTTTCATAGAAAAGTCGAGCTAAAAATGAAAGAATTTATAACAGTAACTAGATTCAAATACAAGACTTAAATGATATTTGCCTACCCATGATCATATAAAGAATTCAATACTGACAAATATTCTTTTACAACTAAACAATCTCTGGCCATTGTTGAAAAACTTATTCCTTGTACTCAAAACCATGTACTCAGAAGCTTTGTACTCAAAAAGTCTTGTACTTTTGCTACATTTTCTATTAATTTTTTCTTTTAAATCTGGGAAATGAAAAGTCTATCTTTTTCAAGTTTAAAGAGCAAAGTAAGCCATAACAAAGCTCTGAAAACTTCTAGGAAAAGCAAATCAAACCAAAATACCAGTAAAATATTCCTGGAGAACTTTCAAATCATATGAAGCTCTTTTTGCAACATTTCCTGATTTTGAAACTCTTTTGAAACAGAAATTTAGGAGTAGGTTCTTGGTCAGCAAGAAAATGTTATTCACATCATTTCAACAATATGAAAAAAACAACATCAAAAAAACAATGATAAACCTTCTCTGACTAAATTTCACAGGGAAAAAGAAAAGTTGACCCTGGATACAACACTTGAATATGAGAACCAGTCTCAGCATCTCTCAAGTCTGATTGGCTGTTCCAAAACACATTTTCAAAATTCAACCAATGACAAACTTAAGTTCTAAGACTGGTTTCTAAAACTCAAGTTAGCTAATCCTGAGGGACCTAGTACTAGTATGATCACAACTAACCTCAGCATTAGCCTCCTCTAGTTTTCTAGCCTCGGCCATTTCCTCAGCGTCATTTCTCTCCTCATCATTGTACTCTTCCTTATCTAGACGTTCAAGTTTCCTTAAAGCAATCAAAACTTCTACACGGTAGTCATCCTCCTCCGCCACAGGATTTTCTACAGTGATAATATAATCGTTAAAAAATACACTGTATTAATACTGCATTTATTATGTCACATCTTAACCTTGAACCTGCTTGTGTAATAGATCTTTCCTGCTATGAATTTTGAGCAGTCCATTTAAAATGCAAGAGATTTAGATATCAAAATACAAAAACCTGAGCTACCAACATTATAGACCTTGGTCAGACTGCATGGACGTGTAGGCTGGCCTGGCTCTATCCTGGTGACAAAGGCTAACCACTTCAAATTTCAGCAGGTCAAGGGTTAACTAACCTTTAGAATGAACCATGTCCAACAAATTTTTGATGGGTTTAAAATCATATCAACACTGTTTAGTGTTATAGTCCTATGGTAACCTTCCAAATTTTTCTGGTAGAGTAAACTGTCAGGTGCCTCTTTGTTAATAAATTTATACTTCAGGCATGAAAGAATACTGGTGTATTATACCACAGGCCTTACAGTCATAAGCTAGCTTGATAACTTCCAGACAAAATGAATTTGAATCCACGAGATGAGGGGCAAGCAAGTTGAAAAGAGCAACTTTAAAGTTGTGACCAAGGAGGCCAGTGTTTATGTTTAGTCATATAAACACTATCAAGGTTTTATGAATACATTTCAGCTTTAGTTGTTTAAGACTAAAGACTTCAGGTGCCTCTCTGTGCAGAACTTCAGGCATTAAGTAAAACCAACAACCTTCTATCCTTCAGTAAGCTAATTGTGAGGCCTCCCATGAAAGAATTAATCATAGGTAAGTAAATAGGTACCCACAGCAATGAGCCGTAAGTAACAATTCAAAATTGGCCACAGAGTAGTAATTATACTATGCAGGTTTGGAAAGTTTCATGTTATTACACCATTTTTTGTTTCAAATTATAGACTAATCTATAGATCAAAAAAATTATAAGCTTTTAGACATATCTATAACACCCATTGAGACATATTAAAGACAAATGATGTAGAGTTTAAAGAGACATTTAAATACCTGACAAAACAAGAGCTCTGAGCATTGGTATAGATGCTAGTTTCTTGATCTCTTTTACATCTGATACATTGTTTCCTCTGTAAATAAAAGAAAAAATATGATATATTATACAATGTTTGGTAGGGCAGAATTCAAGCATTTATAAACAAGGAAGAACCAAAGTAGATGTTAGAACAGGCAGATTGAGAAATAGGTGGGGGAGGTAGGTAGGGATGCAGACAGGACAGCAGGCAGAACCTTTTTGGTTAAACCTGACAAACAATCTATAGGACTATCTAATCGGTTTCTTCTTAACAAATTAAACTTACAGTAGAGGAACACATCAGGTGCCCCTTTAAATTAGTCAAGGCACGAGCAAACACCTGAGCAGGGCAAAGTGATTCTTAATCAGCAGCATAAAACATGTAGCATGCAAATAGGTCTTTGAAGGAAGTTGTTAAGAATTGAGACACAAATTGTTCCTCTTTAAAACATAAGAAACAACCATTAACAGAATATTAACTGACCTTAAATTTTGCAAACATTTGCTGGGATATGTACAGTCATTTATAACAGAAAGAATAATTTGCCACAAGAAAAAGAAAGGTATGTTGTAGCAGTGCTTCTTATAAGTTTTAAAAATAGCCAGTCAATTTTTGGCAGAAGCCGGCAATAAAGCAATCCCCGGTCATTTTAAAGAATTTTTATTTTGCATTGTTCCACATGGTCAAGATTGTTTGCACACATTTTTCGTGTCATATCTCAGCTGTCCTTCCACTTAACTGGCTTTATTTAAAATTAAGCAATAATTACCAGTTTGACTACTACTCACATGTTTTCTGCATCAGATGTCAAAGATCAATTGTCAAGGACAAATTTCCTCTTGACCGAGGATTGAACGTGTGACTCCTGGATAACCAATCAAAGGCTCTCCATATATAGATAACAGAACAGACTTTCAAATTTAGATAACCAAACAGACTTCCAAATGAATAAGCTAGCACTCCATTTTGATTTTGCAGTATGCAGCCATTTTTGTTTTTCCCAACGCACTGGTTATGGTCCATCAATTTCATTTCTAGGTCGTTTTTTTTTTTTATAAAAAGTGCTTTGTGACTAATTATTGAAATTGACTGAATTCTTTAGTTAATCTTGAAATAAATCATCTCCAGGGCAAAGTTAGTAGTACAGAACTAAAGTACAAGTGCTATACAATATACTTGATTTTTTTTTAATAAAGAAAACAAAAAGTAATGATGTAAAATGATCTGCAAAAAAAAAAATCATAACTCTTAACTAGTATTTTCATAACAGCTCCATTTTTGGAGAGATTTTTCTTTGTTATTTAAACTTAAAAGTCAAGTATGTTTTTAACAAGCATTTCCTTTTCATGCGAAAATGTGAATTTTCACAAAAATAGCTGAGCTAACTATTTCCTGAATACTTGACTTTGAGAGACATTTTCTTTCTAAACAACTATGAGAAATTTTCCCTAAAAAGTGAAATAATACATTATCATTATACATTTTAACATAAAGTGGGCCTTTCAGTTTAACTTTAAAGGGAGACACTCAACCTTTAGTAGCAAAGTACGTAGTTTTTAAAGAGATGTGCAAACTTTAAACAGTTTAAAAAGATGAAACAAAATCAAATCATCCTTTTATGCATTTTTTTCTAAATTGTCCAATTTTCAAGGTATTCATTTCAATATATGTTATTCTTTCAGAAATCTTTATACATCAACAAATTTCTGATTTTTAAAATCATCAAATTATCTATTAACACCAAGTTATTAAAAAAAATGGAAATTTTATATTTCAGAGTTTTTTATTGGTCTTAAAGGCACATCATGCCTGACAGAAATGAATAATTGTTTCTTCTTTATAATAGTATAAACAGATTTCACAATGGTTTAAAAATGGATTTTAAACATAGTAGATGCTTGTCATTGCATGGTGGTAAGTATCACAGAATGTTAAAATATTTGTCATATTAATAGTAACAAACCATATACAAATGGTATTTTGACTTTCATACAAACAAGAGCTGTCGGTAGGACAGCAACGCTCGACTATTCTTAGTGCTTGATAGTAAAAAAAATGCTTGATACAGTTACCTTCTCCTGTTTACAGGTTGGGGTCATGATGGTGAACAAGTGTGCAAAGTTTCAAAGCCATATGTCAATGGACTTTGAAAATATTTGAACTATTACAAAAACTTTAACGTTAATTCTAAGTCAAAAAAGGGGCATAATTCTGTCAAAATGCTTGATAGAGTTACCTCCTCCTGTTTACAGGTTGGGGTCATGATGGTGAACAAGTGTGCAAAGTTTCAAAGCCATATGTCAATGGACTTTGAAAATATTTGAACTATTACAAAAACTTTAACGTAAATTCTAAGTCGAAAAAGGGGCATAATTCTGTCAAAATGCTTGATAGAGTTACCTCCTCCTGTCTACAGATTGGGGTCATGATGGTGAACAAGTGTGCAAAGTTTTAAAGCCATATGTCTATGGACTTTGAAAATATTTGAACTATTACAAAAACTTTAACGTAAATTCTAAGTCGAAAAAGGGGCATAATTCTGTCAAAATGCTTGATAGAGTTACCTCCTCCTGTCTACAGGTTGGGGTCATGATGGTGAACAAGTGTGCAAAGTTTCAAAGCCATATGTCAATGGACTTTGAAAATATTTGAACTATTACAAAAACTTTAACATAAGTGGTTACGCCGACGCCAACGCTCGGGTGACTGCAATAGCTCTACTTATTCTTATCGAATAGTCGAGCTAAAAATTAAATCACTATAACTTTACTAATAGCCAAAAAGCAAAAGTAGCAAAGATTATGGTTAGCTATATGGATAATGAATACTCTTTTCTGAGAATTTCTACAGGACAAAAATTAAAAGTTTTTGAAAATGAAAGCACAATTTTTCAGAACATGACGCCTGTGAAGGTAAAACAAGGACAAAACAGTTATCTTTTGTTCACCAAGCCAAATAATTCCATGCTAGAGTTGTGGTTCCTGGTAAGTAACCTACAACTGTGACCAGAAAGTTTCAAGTAGATACCTTGATTTAATGATGATGTAACATAACCTATTACAAGCATTTTCATTGGCTGGAGACCTTACGAATATATTGTCAACAGATAATTTGAACAAAAATAATAAAAAATTATCTCAGTACAGGAACCAATTATTTCTTTTTTTCATTAGCTAGATCAAATTTGGAGACACTCAAAATATATTATTTTGCTTCAATGTACATTGAATTAGGTATGTGTAGAGAAAAGCTATAGCTGATTTTGTCTAGAACCTACATAATGAACTTTTAAAAAAAATATCTGTGTCAGTACCTTTAAACATATAAGAATATTTAAAAAAAACAGGACTTTTTTTTCTGAAAATAACAAAACATCTTTGTGTTTTCTTAATAATTAATTTCTGTTTCACATTTTTAATTGAGGAAGTAATTTGAATAAGGAAGCCTATGTACCAGTATCCATTACTCTTACAATATTTGTGAAAAAAAAAAAAAAAAACCCAGATGTATATTCAAATTTTATACATGTATTGTTCCTGAAACTGTATACCAAGAGAGGGTTAGCAGTAATGGAAATGAAAATCAGCGTTTGTCCCTCTCTTCTCTCAAGAAAAACACTAGAAAGTGATTTAAGTAAGAGTAACACTTTCATCACTTTCAGCTTATTTAAATATGTTAACCTTTGTAAGGAATCATTTTTTAAGCTAAGATGAAGTTCACCAAAACCAATACACATGAATACCCTTACATATATAAACAATAGTAATTTCAGAGATGGTTGACCTTAAGACTTAACCTGCTGGAACCAAATGTTTGTTTGTTTGTTTCATCTTACGCCTTTTCCCAACAGTATTTCAGTCATATAGGTGGGTAGTTTCCTAACCATCAGTTCCTGGAGAGGTACACCAGTACTAGACTACCTTCCTCCGTGCTAAACTACCAAAGCATCTCCCGGGGAACCAAATGTGATTAAACCTTTTCCACCAGTATAGAGCCAGGCCAGCCTGTACATCCGTATAGTCTGACCAGGCTCTATACTTTCAGAAGCTCAATTTTTGTACTTTGATATTGAAATACCTTAAACTATTAATGGATTGTTCCAAATTCAAAGAAGGGTTTTCAGAACTTGATGCCTGTGATGGTACAACAAGGACAATACAGGAATTGTCAGTTCACCAAGGGAAATAATTTCATAAATATCTATGCTAGAGTTGTGGGTCTTGGTAACACTGGGTAAATACAGGGTCAGAATGTTAGGGTAAGGGCTATTTTATAATATTAATATTATTTACCTCATATTGATGTACTGTAACATTTTGTTTTCTTCAGAGAAACCATCAAGCTGGGAAAGTTGATTTTCTCTCAGATGTACCGTCGTTACACCGGTCAATTTGTCCATACCCTCTAGTGTCTTGATCACGTTAGCTCCCTGATACAAAATAGATTCAATTTATTAATATATTACTCCTTAACACCCTAAATATCTTAAATGGACTTGTCCATCTTTCAGTGTAGACAAAACCATAAATTAGTATTTAAAATTGAAAATTTACAATTCATGAATTTAAAACAAAACAAAGGTTTACATTAGTTTTTTTAAAAAATCAATAATTTCAAACAAGAACTGTTTTTGTTGGTTTTTTTTTTACAAGTTATTTAGGAATCATTTAATCCTTGATTTTGGCTTGTGTTGCCTATATAATATGACTTCCAATATCAGAGATTTTGCAGTCTCTGACCTCCAAATTTTGGAATTTAATGGAATCCCTGTGTAAAAATTTTATCATGCACTTCATTCTTAAATAAGGTGAATAACTTTGTTATTGTTCATGTTCAAGATATTGGTCTTTGTACAGAAGTTTCATTATTTTCTGTGTGAAAAAGGGGCATAACTCAAGAAATACAAGAACTAGTTGTCAAAGAAAAGCTTGTAAACACAGTCTGGCAAGTCTCGGTACTGCTCAAAGGATAGATTTTGAAACTTTTTTAAATTATATATGAAACACTCCAATTTATAAGCAGGGCAATTAAAAGTGTTCCAATTTTCAAGCAGGGCAATTTTAAGTGTTCCAATTTTAAAGCAGGGCAAATTTAAGTGTTCTGATTTTAAAGCAGGGCAATTTTAAGGGTTCCAATTTTAAAACAGGGCAAAATATTAGTGTTCCATTTTTAAAGCAGGGCAAATTTAAGTGTTCCAATTTAAAAGCAAGGCAATTCTCAGTGTTCCAATTTTAAAGAAGGGCAATTCTAAGTGTTCCATTTTTAAAGCAGGGGAATTTTAAGTGTTCCAGTTTTAAAGCAGGGAAATTTTAAGTGTTCCAATTTTAAAGAAGAACAATTTTAAGTGTTCCAATTTTTTTACGTGTTCACAAATTTACTAGAGCACAGGTAGAAACGAAAAAATTTGCCCACCAAGAAAAGATTCTTCAAGTTTGGTTGACAAATGCCTTCTGTGGAAGTGAGTTTGTTCCCTCTAAGTTCTAATGTATGCAGACGTGACAACTTGCCAGCATCAAGGCCCGTTACCTTGGTGATTTCATTATCTGAAATAATCAGAAAATACTGTTTTTAGATGCATTGATGCCTTTTAAGATACTGGTACTAGTACAAAATAATGGTAATGTATCATAAATTAATGGCAAAGCTGAAATGCCACTTTGAACAAATATTGATTTATACCCCCTGGAGTTAAAAACAAACATGGTAACATGTTAATAAAAGTGTATGAGATACATATATTTAAAAACTTTAAAGCTAGTTAATTTGAATGAAATTAGAAATTGTTCACTAAAACGGTTAAAGTGACTGCATTACAACCCTGGGATCTTGGGTTTGAGCTTAAATGCTCTGCCCACTTTGGGATCTTGGGTTCGAGCCCAAATGCTCTGCCCACTTTCATATTTATTTTTCATACTTGTTTTCCACAAATATGATATATATTTGGCTGATATAGCATCACATTTCATGGGTAAAATTAAATAAAAACGTAACCCTTTTGTTATATATCTTGTCAAATTGAAACTACATATTCAACCCATAACGTAATTGCCTTACACAAGCTACCTCATACTGGATCACACTCAGGTGAAATATAACAAAGTTTTATTCCGTTGCTTCTAAGTATTTGTGTATGTGATACATGCATTAAACTTAGAAACATTTGGATAAGTATATAATACAGTCATTTATGCTAAAATGTAAATATAATTTCTTACTATTCATGGACAAATGTTCCAGCATTGGATGATTCACGCCTTCCGTTGTTGTGATCTTATTATTGTTAAACATCGCAACCTGTAAGAATGGCATCTCCTCCAACTTTGCACTAGCCAGCATATTTTCATTTGCATTTAATGTCAACATATGTGTAAGGGCACTTAATGGTGAAATGTCTTTAAGATTGTTTTTACTAACATCCACATATCTCAGATGAATAAATGACTTTAGTAATGAAATGTTGGTAAGAGTCCTGAAATAGAATAAAAAGAAAAATGTTGGTTATTTTTTTCATAAAAAAACTACTTTTTAGACGTCAGGCATCGAAAAATATTTTCAGAGTCACTTGTCCTACAGGATGAGTAACTAAGCTTCTAAATCCAATTTGAAGGCAACAGTTTTCTGCTCGTCCTGCATCGAGTACTCTAAAATACTACTCGTAATTAAGAGCCAACGATTGTAATTTTCAATCTCTGGACAGCAGTAAACATTTAAAAGTAAAAGCCTAAACCGAGTTTTATATCATACAAGATTTAAAATCAAATCAAGACAAAAATATTTCACAAATTATACAGAGTGTGAATTTATATTTCAAAAAGGGGAGACAACACTAACCTTTCTTTGATGTCAATTTTCACGTAGGCATGGGCCAGACCATCCCCTGTTTTACACAGGAGAGACAGACATTCTGACATCATTTCTTCTGTTAACAGTACATCTGGAACTTTCTACAACAGACAGAAGGAAAACAACATCAAATAATGATAAGTTCAACAAAAGAAAATCTATAAAGAAAGTAAATTGCCAATAAAGTCATTCAAACTTGGTTACTTGGAAAGTGGCATAAGTTTTTAACATTTCTATTGAACCAAATAATATTTGATTCATGATTCACATTAAATAAAATATAACTTTGTTTTTCAAGCTGAATTACATATACAAATATATAAAGGTAGGTATGGGGAATACCAGATGGATGTGATTGGTTATAAACACAGAAAACGAGAAAAATCACATAGTTTTCATAGCACTTTTTTTTGTGAAAAAAGCAAAAAAACCCAATAACATCATTTAATTAATTATTGCTGAATGACGATAACACCCATAAGGGCCCTTTTCGCATTGCCGGTCACATTAATCTGCATGCTATTCTTATTCAACCGTCACTTTTTTTGTATCAAAGAGCAATTTATAACAAGAGCAAAATCTGAGTTATTGCCCCTTAAATATTATTATCAAATTATTTTTAAGTGGAAAATAATGAATGTGTAATAAAGTAGAACCTAAACAAAGTTTAGATTTAAAAAATAGCTTTTGTTATAGTGTGCATAAACCTGTAAATCATGATAATACCTTAATCTGATGAATTTATGTAATTGATTTTTGAGATTTCCAAATGTACAGATCCTAGAACCAGATTGCACAGATGTGCAGACTGGCCTGGCTCTACACTAGTGGCAGTCTAAAGGATTTTAATATCAAAACTGAGTTACTTAAAGTATACATCCCACTTGCCTGGCTGTAACTGGTACCGTGGCAAAAGTTAATCTCTTTGCGTTCTAGCAGGGCAAGCTTTGAACTTTCTGTTCCCGCAGGTCATGTATTAAAATAATAATTTTAAGTTCTATATTCAGATCAGGTCAAGTCAATATCACAAATTCAATATGGTAATTATCATTTGACGTTATTACAAACAATTTCTAATCAACTTATAAATAATCATTATCAACTCTAATAACAAATGAAAGAAAAAACATTAAAAGCAGAAATTTTCCATATTTTTCATACGCACTTTAAAATGAAAGCTTTGTTTAATAATCATCATTAAAGCGAAAGTTAGTTCAATGAATTTCATTAATTAATCACAGTTATGTTTAAATGCTACTGTTTTATTTAAAGTAATATTATATTCATCATCACAGATCACTTGCTGTACATGTATGTCATGCAGTTATGTTATTGGAAATCAGCACTGTTCAAGGGATTATATCTAAAAATCTTATGGTTGAGAGTATTTTGTAATTTATTGAAAATTCTATGATGTCAGAGGCTGGCTTAGCATTGCATTGAACAGAGTTACAATGGTAATATGAAAGAGATTCAAGGCACTCCTGGGAAAGAGTTGTTAAAATAATCATTTTTATTAATTTTGGCCTAGTACACATGATCAATTGATCATTATCACAATATCAGAAAAATTTCTTTTAAGCTGTAAAAATATGTACATTTACACTTAAAGCTGCCATCAAAAATTTTCTAACCAGTAGATACTCTTAGTATAATGCAATTTTTATAAAAACTACTATATATATAATTAAAAAAAAATTATGTTTATATGCAATATGAATTAATTTTAACTTAATTAGTCATAAATTATAACATGTAAAAGTTTCTTAAATAAGATCAAACCCTCAAATAGTGACACCTGACTGTATTACTGTTTTTTAAAAATTGCTATAGTCTAAATAAATTAACTCACAAAAAAATACTGGTTTAGTTTAAAATTACAAATTTATTTTAGTTTGATTGTGTTGGAAGCTACAAGCTTATTGAAACACTTTTGAACCCATTCCTGGAACCAACCAGTACAAAGCAACAAGTGTAAAGTTTCTTGCTCACAGAAACAACAGCTTGCCCCGGACAGGTTTTGAACCAAAACAGCTTGCCCCTGACAGGGTTTGAACACACACAGCCAGACATCCTTAGTTTATGTATTCTAGTTTCACATAAAGACAGAGTTATAAGCATGAACATTGACTGAATAATGTGAATGATAAACATGATACAACTAATACACAAGTATGCTGATTATCTCTTTCAAGCATTACATTATAGTAACCTGATAGCCACAACAGCCCCTGAAGATAGCAGGGGATTTAACTTTTAGATATTAAAGTCCTTAGCAGAGGCACCATCCCATGGAGAGTCAGATTCATTTTCAGTGTTTCCCACCTACCCGAGGTGTACTGGTAAGAAATCTAGGTAATCCTTGCATGTATCAGTGCTATACACTGGGCATGTAAAAGAACCAATTAAGGTGTCTATTTGATAAGGGCTAGGGACTGGTTCCCGGATTCCCTTGTATCTCACAGCTGTCTCTGAAGTCAAGAGTCATGTCTTCTTCCCCGCGAGGGATTTTGACATTAACGGAAGATAAAAAGATAGATTGTTAAAGGCCTGTCGGTGGAATTTTTAAATTTTACCCTGTCATTATGCACCGTAAAAAAAACACACTAACTTGGCAACACAGGGAAAGTTGATTCATTTGTTGCATTATAACTTGCACTTTATAGGCAAGCGGTGGGCTGCAGTTTCTTTTTACTGAGACATTATCAACTAGTAAAAAAAATAAGGCAACAAGAAGCTCATAAAAATTTGAAGTTTGCCTTTGATTTACAATATCTTCGTTAAACATGCTTTATTTATTTGCAATCTGTGGTAAGTGTTAAAAACGTCTTTTAATTAATTTTATGTTGAATGATAATAATGTTTTTACTATATATTAACGACATCGCCTCGGATATTAAGTCATCAATTCGCCTATTTGCTGACGATTGTGTCATTTATAGACCCATACTCACCAGTGAAGATCATAATATTTTACAAAAAGACCTGGACACCTTAGTTGATTGGAGTAATATCTGGCAAATGGAATTTAACGTCGATAAATGTGCAACCATGTCAATAACAAATAAACGTAACAAATCCGTATTTGACTACAAAATGAAAAATCAATCACTACATATTGTTAAAAACCACCCATATCTGGGAGTTGAACTAGCAGATACTATGAAATACAACCTACACATCGATTCAATCACAGCAAAAGCTTCTAGTACTCTTGGTTTCATCAAACGGAACTTAAAACATTGCCCGACCACAGTAAAGGAAAGAGCTTATCAAACTTTGGTTCGACCTAAACTGGAATATGCGTCACCAATTTGGAACCCACAACAACTTAATACATCAAAGAAACTTGAACAAATACAACGGAATGCGGCAAGATTCGTCATGAATAAACCATTCAATCGTAACAATCCATCTAGCGTAACATCAATGCTACACGACCTTAAATGGCCAACACTTGAACAACGTCGTCAGTGTGCGGACTTAATTCTTATGTATAAAGTGTTTAATAACCTGGTGGCTGTACCAGTTGAATACCACCCACAACTATCTACAAGATACACAAACTCGGTAAAGTTCGTCACTTATCACTGCAGACTTAATGCGTACAAACATTCATTCTTTCCAAGAACTGTACCTTATTGGAACAACTTACCAACTAACATCACATCTGTGGACAATCTGGACAGTTTTAAAACCGCTGTCCAGTCATACGTATATGTGTAAATTATTAAAATCGTGTATAGTGTACAAACATGTTGGATTTTACTTCACACTACGTTTTCACATTATTTTAACTCGAACGCCTGGTGCCGCACATGGGGGACAGGTTTTTAGCCCACGTTTTTAATGGAGCACATTTCACATCACCACTCGTCGCTGATGTCTGCACAGCGGATTTACAGACGAGATCAACATAGAAGTAGAAGTAGAAGTTAGAGAATCAGCTTGTGAATTTCTTATATTTTGTGGGCTGCAAGGTCCAAAACACTAAGAGTATTGTAGGAGAAATCAATAAGTTAACTTTCATAACTTCTATCGGGCTATAGCAACCATCTTTTAACAATGTAAATGTGAAATAAATCAGCAGATATTTAAAAAATTAATAACTTATTATTCTATACTGAATACAATAACCGATAACTTCTAATACATGTAAAAACAATGCAAAAATCAACGCTATTTTGCATTGTTTACATTACCCCACCCACCTCTTCTTCCTCTTCTGGTTCTTGTTCTTCTTCCTGCTGCTCTTCCTCGGCCTCTTCTTCCCCTAACTGTTCGCCCCTTTCAGCATTGCTTCCTGTTATCCCACTCCACCCTCAAAGGTTTTCTTCTCCTCCACATCAGACTTTTTAAATTTAATTTCGGTTTCCCGTTTTCGCAGAGCGTTTATTTCAAAAATTGGGGGATGTTGCAGGGAACGCTTTATATAAAATTTTGTTTTCCCCATTTTTTAAATACTTTAACACAAAAGCGTGAATGAAAACAAATATATTTTGTTAATTACATCTTAACCCAAATTTCTCTAGAAGCCATTTAAAAAGTGCTTTTTTAGTTTTAAAACTGCCGTTGAATTTGTCAAAATTCGTCAAAAACGCAAAAATGCAGGGGTTATTTCCCAAAATTTTGGGAAAAGGAAAATACACTTTGTAGGGAAGAAAATTTAAATTTTTTAAAAGTCAAATTTTACAGTAAGATATAATTTTTTGCTTCAAGGTTTAAAGATACGGTTTTAGTTTTTAAGTGTAGTCAAAAGTTTGGGTAAAAAACGTCTGCAAATGTGGGCGTGTAATTTTTTTGATTATTTTCGCAAAATTTTACATTTTTTTCTGGACTTGTGGGAGCACGTTCCGTAGTAACAGTTTTTGTTCATTTTTAAATACTTGTTTATTATTTATTTTATTCTGGCTTTTTACAGTATTGTTAGTAAGTTAACTTTTTCTTCTTTTCAATTTATCTTTACTTTAAGCTTCATTCCAAAATACAAAAATAAATCTAGCTATTTTATCAGGCCAGAATTTTTTTAATGTTTATGTTATAGATATGTATGAGCATTATTGGGGGAGGTATTTCTAATTATGGAGAATGTCACATACATGTAAGATATTGGATCTACAGTATTCATTTTGCTGATGTTATAGGAAAAGTTTTTCCTTGTTTGTGTTAACTCTTATGTCTTTCAGACTTTTTCTTGTTTTGCACATTGATTAATTTAACCAGAAGTTGCCACAAATACTGACACATGTGTATATTTTAATTTCATATTGCACGGAAATGTTTCAGCCACTTTTCATGTTGTTTTTTCTTCTTTTGCTACTTAGTCCAAAATATTAAATAATTATTACATGTATATCAACTTGTTATACTGTATTCTAAGCTATGTTCCACTGAAAAAAAGATATCACATTTAGCAATTTGTTTGTATTAACTAGGTGCTTATTATATCAATATTCTATTTAATTTATATTTTGCCCTGGAATATAATTTTTCTAGATTTTATAACATGTTTGGGACAAATCTTATTATCTATAGATTTTAATATACATATCACCTTGATGTGATAGCGCAGTCACACATATAATACATATGAATTATGATATATTACACTGAAATGATTGTAACATTTATTATTGATTGTAATAATATCTTCAAGAAAGTAATTTGTTTTAAACTGCTTTGGTTATTTTTAAATTTTCCTAAACCTGTCGGATGCTGAATTGAGTTTGACCAGTATTTTGAGTTTTATCCTCAAATAAGAAAAGAATAGGTTTTAAATGTCAGTCTGGAAAAATAAACATCTTATTACAGTAAAGCTTTTAAAATGCTTTATTATTATAATTTATCAAAGACTTTAGTTTAAGTGTCATGATATATAGCTAAGCCATTTTTTCATTTGCTACTTGTTGATTTTTGGCAAATTAATATAATTAGTACATTTATAGTGATTTAGTATTTTGAAGAGCAGCCAAATTATACCACTTTGTTTAAATTTTGCTAAATTTATAACAGATAATATGTATTTCACATTCAGAGGTATTTTCTTCAGAAGATCAGCATCTCACTTGTTCTTAATCAATTATTACATTATAAAAACACATATTACCATTTTCTGCAGAATGGATAAAAACATATTCATTTTTGAGAATGAATGTGCCTCAATTTATAAGAAACCGAATTGTATTATTTTTTTAATTGATCATTATTATGGAATTTTATTTATAATTATTTAAATTGATAATTACTGTTGAAATTGGAGAAGTAAAGTTCTAAACCCCACAACAATCAGGTCATTATTATAAACATTTTTTTTTAATTTAAAGTCATCACTTTTCAAATAAATATACTTAGATAATAAATTCTATATCTATTACTATATTTTAACAAAGTTTAAGAGTTTTGTTAATAAAATGAGTTAACTTGAGTGATTTCATTTTAGGAAGAATTAAAAGATTATTTAGATATTGCATGAAAAATTGAATGAAAATTTTAAAAAAGAAAAGATAGTAAAAAAATTATTGACTTCCTAGTTGAAGCTGGCTGCTTAACAGAGGTGATTGTTTAAAAAGTATTTGTGTTAATCTATTGTGAGATAATCAATCTTTTTTTTTTTTTTTACTTTACTCTTCCTTTTACTTTTAGCAGTATTGTTAAACAGAGTTTTGTTTATTCATGCTCGAAAAAAGTTACAAAAAGTAAACAAAATATAAAGATTAAGAGTATGTAAACTAATCTTTTAAAAATAGTTAACTCTCTAAAGTCTTAAGTTTTAGAAATAATGACATCAAAAAAGCTTAGAGATTTAATATTTGTAATCAGTTTTTTCAAGTTTGTCAATAATTTGAGTACGATTTTCTTCAGCCATCCGATATAATCCATCGATAAGTATATTTTTACATGTATGTCCCTAATAAAAGATTTATTCAAGTTTATTGATTTAAAGCTGTACAGACCATGTTTAAAGTTGCATTGTTACCCTAGTAACAGCTAATAAACTGTACCAACTTGCCGGGACATGATTTCACTTAAAATCCACATTTAATTTTCTAGTTTTTCAAATCGACCTAGCAACTGAAAAACTTTTCAACTTAGATTACCAACCTAAAAAAAGGTACTAGGAAATTTATGAGTTTACTTTGGGCTGACTTGTTTTAATTCTATAGATACCAGCTAGTTATGTGCTTTTTCTTATATACATAATCTGCAGGCCTTTATTTGTGAATTTGGAAATGGTCCAGATATTTTAAACACCATTTATTTGGGGAATGTCTCATTTTAAGATTTGCAAGTAACTAAGTAAATTTGTTATTAAAGGTCAAAATTAGTTGATATCAAATTTTTATTATCTACATATCTTTGACGCATATAGAGTCAAATCTCGGAAAATGTACGTATAAGTGGATGGGGTGCAAAGTTTGAATAGGTAAATTTTACGATTTTTATACAAGGTTTGAGATATTGAACTGATTTGATATCTTGCATTTATCATTATTATTACTATGTTAGTAGACATTCAACATATACTGTTCAAAGTTTACATTTTGTGTGTGTTGAGCCAAATTTTTAACTTACCGGTAAGTCTACCAAAGTATTTAAAACTTTTTTTCAGAAGTTAAAACTTATTATTATTAGATAAAGTTTAAGGTTTTTCTTTTCTTACTTAGTTCCGTAATTTTTTCTTTCTTTCTTTTTTCCTCTTTCTTTCTTTCTTTCTTAGTTCTTTCTTTCTGTCTTTCTTTCTTTCTTTCTTTTATTAAGAGTTTTCAACAATTAATGCTGAGACTGACAAAATCATGAATGCTTCTTAAAATTTTACTTAATTTCCATCTCATCACTTATCTTTGAAGCTGTTTTATCTTTATTTTTTTTTTAAAAATCACATGACTTTTTTCTTTCAATTCAATCATGCTTCAGATATTAAGCTCTAATTGTTTCAAGTATTTTCATAATATCTTATAATCTAGTTGACTGCTATCACAATTATTGAATGTTTGCAAGTAAATTACTATCATCATTTTGTAGTGTTTTCTCGATTTATCGTAACAGATTTACCCCGGCACATAAATTGACTTAAAAAGGGATTAATCAAGCGGGAGGAAGTCGGCTATTATGCTGGGATAATATCCGTGATTTCGTTTCCATAGCAATGCATACGGGACAATTGTTATCTTGTTACTATAGAAACCATTATTACAGGTAAACCATCAATATTTGAATAAATAATTAAACGTCCCAGGTACAAGACTTGATTTTATTGACACCTAGGATTGATTTCCTTACCCAATAAAGAGTTGGAGCTATAGAAAATAATTCCAAAGAACTACGATATAACAGGAATTGGTATATTGAACATATTGGTGTTTTCCATCTTTTTTTTCACCACTGATCTTTATTAGTAGAAGTTTTCAATACTTCAATAGTTTTAAATACTAGAAAGTGAGAGAAAAAAACACTACATATTAACTAGATTCAGAAGTTATGTTAGTAACTTTGTGCTTGAAAATGAATTAAATAGAAAATTTGACTAGTTATTTTTCAAGATAAGTGAATAATAAAATGCATGTCATAATAATTCAAATAAACAGGCCTGCAGTGATTTTTCTCACCTAATTGGGAAGAGGCCTTTAAGCCTCTTGGATTTTGGGAAAAAATATTGCTAAAATTTCCAATTTGGGAAGAAAAACAGCTGGTGTAAGTTTAGATTTTTGGGAAAACTGCATGATTTCAAAGAAAATTTCAATTGGGAAGAGGCCTTTTATAGTCCTCAGTTATATCAACTGGCCTGATATATAAATTTCAACTGTTACCATTTTTAAACTTTAAAATTTTCAAATATTTTTCTAAATTTATTGAAGGCCTATAATTATAAGCTTATCATATATTTTATTACTTTTATACTTATGATTAGGAAACTTTGGTCTCAAATTCAAAATGTAATCATAAGCATAGCTCTAATTATTAGGTTATGTCTAGTAACTTTTTATTCACTACTTTTAAGACTTCAGATATACATGTACATCTGCACAAAATAAGGGATGGGGAAGGGGGGTAGTCTCAATATTTTGACTGCAAGACCGACCAATTTTGCAAACTGATATTTCATAGAAGTAGGCAAAGGGCGACCATCTTCTACATAATAAAAAGCCCTTACGCACAATTTGTTGGGCGAGGGAACTGGGGGGTGTGGACTCTCTCAGCAAGTATGCCTATATATGCTAAATCCATACAGCTATGTCCTTGAATAAACTGAGATTTTTGTCTCAAGTTTACCATTTTATGAACAGTATAAAAGTAAAATTGTCAAATGATAGAGACACTTGTTTTTATCTGCCATTTACTGCCATGGTACTAGATTTATAATCCTGTACTTCAGACAGGCATAATATATATTGATAACAAAAAAAGTCTATATCATGTATATTTTAAAAAAAAATTCACTTTTCATTGGTTTTTTAAAATTCATTTTCTCTTTCTCTATAAGAAAAGGTTGTTTTTTTTCTGCATATTAAATATGTTTAGAGTTTTAACACATGATGCTTTGATTAATTTTTCAAGTTTTAGTCTTTTTTTTCAATTAAGCAGCTTATGCTCCATATTGATTTAGTACTGCATGATGTTTAAAGGGACTCCACTGAGGTTTTTGATATGACAGAACTGTTATAAGTTCTAGTCTACTACTTTAAAGTAGCAATATAAGAGTCAGGCCAGGACTTAAATTTCAAGTTTTAAGGTGTAGACAATAATCCATTTGTAATATAACCCTTCATTGCTCAATATCTTTAATGGACTTGTTCATCTTTTAATTTAGAAAAATCATATTCATCATTTTAATGGAAATTTTAAAGATATGTACTGACTTAATAGCAAACAGTTGCGACCAGCATGATCAGGATCCATACTGTTAAACTATCAGTTTCTCTACTTGTTAGAGTTGGTAAGCGAACAGCATGGATCCTGATCAGACTGCGCGGATGCGCAGGCTGGTCTGGATCCATGCTGGTCGCAAACCCATTATGTTGGTTTTGTCGTGACGCGGCTCAAATGTGCTTTCTGATATGGATGGTCTGCACTTGTTGCATGGTACCGTAAAATCAATGTTGCAGCTAGCAGGCTAAAAGTAAAGGCGTC